AATAATAATAATAATAATAATAATAATAATAATAATAATAACGGTAGTATTGATAATCCCTAAATTCTAATTTCAATATCCAGTACTGGAGGCAGTCAAGTAAAACAAGGCTAATCTCCCATCATCGTCATCTGAAACAGTATTAATGCCAAATATCAAGCATTCACGATCACCGCAGAGGTTTACAACGAAGATGGCACAACCTCAGTTGAAAATGGTAAATGTAAAGTGCTGTTGCAAAAAGCACCGTACTTCGCTTTGGCTCTTTGATCCTTGTCGTGCGTTAGTTGTATACCCACTACTGATGTGCTGAAGTTTCACGAAATTCAATGAGCTTATAATGCCTTGTTCGCATAGCCCGAAAATAATAGCTAAGACATTGTATATGAATAGTGTAAACTTGAACACAGTATGTTACGAGCATTTAATGAGCGTGACAGTGTGCACCTTCATACATGCCCCCAAATCTGGAACGCCCGCAGGTCAATGTGGAAAGGATCCGAAAACTAAACATCACCTAAAGCATGTAAGGAATGTACCTTTACATTTTTAGTGTAAACACACTACAGAGCCATCCCCTGTTACAGCACCTCAGTCTCTTGAGGATATGTGGATTTTTAGTAAACAAATAAAAATTCATACGTACGTGCCCATTTCAAGTGGCCTGGTCTATTCCGAAGTTGAATAAAAGTACCAAGTAACGCCCGTAGACTTAATGTTATGATCCGAATCGAATCAAATTTTTGAACAACCAGCACGGATTTTACAACTACAGTGCGATCTCTGGTATTTCCTAAAATGTTTCTCTTTTATTAGGGAACAGCATAAACCAGTCTGGTTGTCGGTTTGTTTGCCAGCCTGGGTAATTTGATCACCAGGATTTTATAACCAATCCAGGTGACGTTATCAGTGTGTCGTGTGTAGCGTAGCGATGAGTCGCTGTTCGTGCACAACCAGCGGAAATTAGTGAATATGTGGATATTACTGAATATCCCTGGATATATCTTTTTCATAGTGCAGTCGTGCGCTATTACATGTCACTCCGAATTCGTACTAGCGAGTAAAATTACTTATATGCAACCCAACCGAAAGAAAGCGCCCAAGAAATCACAATCCCAAATCGACTCCAGAAAACGATTTCTTTGGATTAGTTATTAAGCAGTCGATGACCCGTTTTCAATGCTGAAATTCTCGTCAAAGACGATGTTAATGTTCGCGACCCAACTGCGAAGTGACGGAGTACTACCAATGTACCGGTGGATACAACTGATGGGGGCATGCGATTGGTATGTTTTCTCGTAAATCCGCTTCGCATCTCTTGAAAAGTGAGATCCGTTGCGGAGCTTGTGGAGTTGCATTCGCTTGCATTTAAGCAGTGGTCAATAAATATCCAGGAAAGTTTAGGAAGACGCGTTCAAGGAGAATATGGATATTCTCTTTTGTAAACAAGATGCATATGAGAGTTTTGCTTCCCTGTCCAATAGTCTGTAACTGTTCGTTTAGCGTTTTCTAATAAATAACTCCGCAGCGAAGGCCTTCCTCCTTCCATCAAGTTCATTCGTACATCTTCCATTCTTCTAATAATGAACGACTCAGGCAAACGGCATTGGAAAACTGCCCTTGGTTAACGAATTGAGAAGTTGGAGGTTTCTACTTGCGCAAGAAGGTGGATAGTGTGACAAATAACGAAACGAATATTTTGGATGTCGGGTTTGAGATGTTAGTGATCGCCTTGATTTTCAGAAGACAATAAAAATGAAAAAATTCTTGTCAAAAAGTCCAAAAACATCAAACCACTTTGTTAGATTTTCATCCGAGACTGGAGCAGCCCTCAAAAATTTGACTGGTGACACTCACAAACCGGGTCTGTGCTAAAGCCGATAAATTTAATCCGTACTACTATCTGTGAGGTTATTTCATCGGTTTGAGAAGACTTGTTGGAAGACTTGTTGTTCATTTGTTTTGTTCTACGAAAACACTTGAAGCGCTTTGTGCATGAACGAAAAAACTGACCTAATGAAATGACATACTTACTCTTGGTCCTTGTCCTAACCACGACAGGGTTTGATCTTTCCTCCGGTTGCACCCCACTTACGATGACAATCCCATAAAGTTGACATGTGGGCAAAGAAAGCGTTGTTTCTCTCAAAGTGTCTGCAATCTTCTGGGTGATCAGTTCTCCCTCAGCAGGCCTTGCTTCTATAAACATCTCTGTAGTCGGGCATCGTTCATTTTCCACAGTCCACGTAAGCCTGACGTTTTCCGAATCAACCACTGTAGCCTTCAGGTTGGTTGCGCGTTTACTTCCCCTACCTACAGTGGAAATGAGATGAAATCTCAGTCTTGGAGCACATCAAGAGTCATTCAATGGGAAGGTTAACAATGGTTTATGAATTATATTTTGTGAGAAACAGTTAACCAACACATCTCCCGCAAAAGCTTCAAATTCAAGGGGACCTGGTATGCCGACGATTTGAATTTAGTGGAGAACAGGAAATTGAGAGTGATTCCGTTTTTCTTGGGATGCTTAATATAGTGTCGTTTCTATTGGGCAATTTGGATCAAGAAAGGTTGACCAGCGGAACCAGGATTGGTAATGTGGTGAAATATTGGTAGCTCGGGTGAGTTTATTGGTTGTTGATCAGATGGCTGTTGATCTGTTCGCCGAGCTTGGCAACGGCTCGGCGAACAGATCAACAGCCATCTGATCAACAACCAAGGAACCAGGATTAGCGCAACAGAGCATCCAAATCTCGAGGAGCGTATACGCACTCTGATAAAGCCCACCTATCCATTGGACTTAAATTAAAGCAAAAAATTAAGAGTTCGTGGTTTTCCTCATGTGCACAGTTGAACGTTCAGCGTGCCGGAATCGTCACTTGATGGGACAATACACTAGGTTTAACAGTATTGTCCCCCTGAAAAGAAAGCAAAATTTCCTGAGGAGATATTCGCTTTTATCCGTCTTACCCTCATCCTACTTCATCTTACTTGGCATCCTGAGCACAAAAATTGCAAGCCAATCCATTTGCTTCACTTAACTTGTGGGTTACAGCCACTCAGCTGATGCCCCTACATCTCACGTGGCATCTTGTACTTTATTTTTAAAATTCAACCCTTCATCTGCTGTTACAAATTAGAACTTGTTGAACGTATGTCAGCGCAGTAATGCAGGAATGGTGACTAGGTCTCGGAAGTCTGTTACATAAGCAACGGTCCGTCACTTTATATATCTACCCAACCCCGCCCAGTATCATTAGCTGCCTACAGCTGAAGCAGTTGTGATTCACCCACACAACTTGAGTTTGTACACTGTGTCCAGAAGAATTCGAATCCAGCTACATTTTAACATACATGCTATGTCCACCCCTACTGAAACGTGTAGAGTATAGTTATGTATAGATACCGTTGGCGAAATAATGAGATTAAACAATTTCGTTTCCGTTTCATTTACCGTCTAAGTGAGGAAATTTTTTAAATTTGCTTGTTTATATCGCTTATTTGCTGTTTTGTCAACTCCATGTCATTATCGACTCGAGGTCTCAAAAGCAGTGATACTCTTTAGCTTGTGTTACAAATTCATCTACGAAAACACATCTCAACAACAGTTTTCAAACCGCTAGGAATTAGTTGAGTATTCACCTGGAAGTAAACAAAGAACTGCTATTTTGTTACTGCAGCTTGTGTTATGTTTCACCTAACTCACTAAGGTGTGAAATCGTTCAAATGTCGTGTCTCCAGGAGCATGGGAGAAACGTTTGCAGTGCTGAGAACAAGCGCAAAAGAAAACCTGCAGTCGTATGGTTTCCAGATTGGATTGGTAAGTGAACTAACTCACCCTTGACAACGATTTCGCTTGAAAGCCCTTCTACGTTGTTGCCATCAAGAACCGCGTAGACAGAGTATGTGTGGTCTTCACAGCCTTGGAAGAATGTGTGTTCTGGAAGGAATAGTAAAATACGAGTACTGATGGCCATTTCACTTTAAGTTACTCCCAAACCGAAACTTACGGGTAGATTATTTTCTTTTGCTGCGTCACAAAGTGCGCAGGGAAGTAGGGTCTGCTAGCTCACGAGGTAAACTGTTTTGGACTCTTGTATGACCTTCCATATTTGTACCACCTCATCACAAGTGCTGGAAAAGCCAATGATTGTGAACTGCTTTCGCACACCATTTTCCACAGTCAGCAACGTGGATAAACTTGAAATATGTCTCCCTCTATTTTGGAGGGTTAGTACTATAATGGACTGATTGCCGAAGCTTACATATGGCTTATAGAGCGAAGGAATCAACGGTGCGTTCTGTTCATCAGAAGGCCACTTGCAAGGCTCACGAATCTTTCCTAATAATGGGTAAGCCCATCACACACAAACTAGCTTGTTAATTACTTTTCATAGTTGCACGTTCAGAACTGACCGACAGTTTGTTTATTCACATGCCGACAACTGAAGTGGCATCAGTCAACTTCACTTACGTAGTGAAACACAGGATTCATAATCTAGAATATTCTCTTTACCTGGAAAACGCGTGACTATTCCATCTTGTTTCAAAACTGAACAATGAAGACAAACGGTAACTTTATTCAACTCACCTAGAGGTTCGGTTGCCGGGATGTGAACGACCGCTGCTTCAATTCCCCTGCTAGAGGTTTGTTTCACCACATACTTGTGGGGACACGACATTCGGTTCATTGGTTCATTCCACTTTACCTTAATTAGGTGGTCTCCCACTGGCATGCTCGTCAAAAGTTGCGGTCGTCCCGGCCTGCCTATCAAGTGAAAAAGCACAAGCAACAAATGATCAGGGCACAGAAAAATAATGACAAGATCGTTTCATTCAATGAACTAGCAATTGGTTTGGTTTTTTGGTAAAAGCCGCACGACTCTCCCTTTTGATATCGGTTTGCGTACTTCGGTGATGGGTGAGTAAAAGCATGACTTTTATTTAGCGAGCACCTCCCCGTCAGTAACAACCAAAGACGATATAGCTATGAGCATACACATGACTACATTTGCAGAAGCCAAAACTATTTGAAAATTTCAAGATTGGATATAATATACGACTTCTAAAGCTTGTCGTGGAAAGGGGTATCAATTGTTTGTCTCAAGATACGGTTGACTGCCGAATTCGTAGCAGCGTTCGTCATTTATAATAATGATAATAACAATATTACTGATAATAATAACGAGTGTTAAGCAGTGACAGCCTTTAGATAAATAAATGCCGCGCAAACAGAAACGAGCACTTCCAGCCTACACGAGCCTAGAGAAAAGCCTTCACACTACAAGAAGTTGGCGTCGACCAACAGACCTGCTGGCCAGAAGTTTTATTCCCTAATCACTAAACCATCTCTTTTGTTGTTTACTGTTTGCTAGTTCCACATTTGTTTCATAACACTTAATTTAAAGGCGGCTTTATGAATTTTATGGAAACTCGACAAATAGTGCACGCTGGTGCCAACGTGAGTGAACAGCATCAAAACCAAACAAAATAACACTCTCCGTTTACAGAACATCCCCCAGGAGATGATTTCACCTTACTTTCAAATCGTTTCCAAGAGTCAGTAGTCTAATATACATTATATATATATATATATATTTAAGTTGAGACAACAAAAGGAATTAATTTAGCCTCTTCGTAATGCATTACTCAAAAGGTTGCTGAAAATTCCCCAACAGCCCACGAGCGGATTCGCCATACTTGGGGCTCACCAGGTAGGCGCAATCCCCGAGGTTCCGTCAAACGTATGTTCTACTTGAAACCAAATCGCACGAAATTAGAGGAATACACTCATTTGCGAACAAACGTGGTAGCAACTGAAACATGAGCAGCCTGGTGCAGCACATTCAGTTGCCTGGAAACATCACGATCACTGCTTGAACACAAAGCCGTTTGGCCAGGAGCTGCTATTAGCGTTTAGTTACCTGAAAATGTCCTTAATTAGTTGTTAGCAAACAAACGTAGGGCTAAAATTGTCCTCGATCTTGTTGGTTTGAAGCTTGTTTGGGGCGAATGGTTAGCTTAATGATAACACAAAACACTCAGGCACATAATGGGCTATGACTTCGCTTCCCATAATTTTGTTGTGCCAGTCGATAGAGGTTTCTCATATTCAACCTGTAAATCACACTGTAGTCACTCGCATAATGTTTAGACATAACATACAATGAGAAATGCACAGAAAAATGGGGGATAGCTGATTCGTGGTGAAGGTGGAGAGTATTAGCACGCCCTTATCTGTGATAGTATCTGTATTCCACGTGTTG